CCTGCTCATACCTCCAAGTAGCGAGAGAGGCCCTTAAAGAAACGGGGGTTACCACTGTCTGTAAAGTAGACGGTTCTTCCTAGACCCTGAGCAAGCTCCATAGGAGCCCACAGCATGGATCAGGCCCCTTCTCAACATAGCAAGACCAAAGGTCTGCTCCTGCTTGCTCCAAATTCTTCACTGCAATCCAATGTGCCCCAACCTGGCACCAACTGCTTGCTCCAAAACTGCACTCTACTACGTTCTGTGACACATGCCCCTGACCCACAGCCTCTCAGGGACCCACACCCACAGCAGCCTCTGACAACGATCAAAACCAGCACCTCTGTTGCATGACGTTTTATGATGTGTTAACGAAACACGGCACCGCTTCCGTAAGCGGTAATGATTACTTGTTATTGCTTGACCGTCTACATAGCAAAACTACCTTAAAAAAAGATACCACAATGCTCTCTGAACGATGGCTTTTTGCCCTGTGAAGGTTTCCACTCATCCAGCTTTGTGGTGGCGCCTATTTATTTTTTTGAATGTTTATTCATAAAAGACAAGCTTTTCTTTTTTTTTAAGGGTGCAGGGACTTTATTCATAAATACAGAAGCACCTTAATAGAAGAAACATGTGACGAAGGCTTCAAAGCAGGCAAGAAAACTGATGAACAAAGACATTCCCATAACAACTGAGCTTTACCTGATCAAACTCCAATAAAGCCTGCATTTGGCATAAATCTTTAAAAACATAGCAAAGGCCACCAGAGGATGCTAAAACTTGTTTATTTAATATTATCCTCCTCCCTTCCCCAAAAATAGTTTATCCTTTTAATATTTTCTGAAGTCCTGGTGCACCGAGTGAACCTGGCGCAGTAGAAAGATAGGAGGAGAAACGTGGGAGAGCGCTCTCAGCATTGCTTCCTTCCTTTCTTCCCTCCAGCTTCCCACTCTCCAATGTGCTGATGATCAGCATCACCACCAGCAGATAACCCTCACTTTCAGGCAGAAGAAACAACAAGAAAGATAGTGCCTTTAGAGGATTTAATTCTTTGTGGCTTCACTTATCCACAGCCAAGAAGAGACAGAGGTTTTTATATGAGCCTTATAGAAAAAACTTAATTTCGACCTCTGTGAGATTTATTATTTTCCATCCTAAAACTACTTAGTATGTGCACTGTGCTTCCCATCTGTGCAGGAACACACAGGATTGCTTAAATACCAAGAGAAGTATTCTGGGTGAAAACAGACATTAAAGCAACTATTTCTGCTCTCAGATATTACCACTTGTCCACTGGTGACAGACTCATCCAGGGCACCTTCATGAGAATTAATCTCCAGGACCCACTGTTTGGAGAAACCTGGGGGGCAGGAAGACCTGGCAAACAGATCCAACAGTCACTCATTCCCAGCATGAATATGATGGGGTGCTCCCTGCTCCAATCCTGCCTCTGATGTAAGAATAGGGCCCTGCTGCACTCGGGGACGGGTGTGAGGGGCCATGGCCCTGGCCTGCCATTCCAAGCAGCCCCAGACTGCTTTCCCGGAGTCAGTGCAAACAAGGGCTGCAGGAAAACACAAAGTCCTTTTCTGATGTGGTTTGGAAAAGGGAGCCAAGTATAGCCTGAGGAAAGCTCAGCTGAAAAGGTGCAGTCTTGTAGTTCTTTTTTTTTACTTTAAGGGGTAGATCTGCAAGGTCAGAGGACCACACAAAGAAAGAATCAGGAGAAGAAACAAAATATTTATGTTCTGCTTGCTTATTTTTTCCATTTACCCTGCACATCTGTCTCTGGCTGTTCCTAAAATAGCCCTTCAGAATAATACCATCCCTTCTGCACCAACGGTATACATACCACTACTGAACTGCCACGGGACTAAATCTGAGAGCTCTTGGGGAGCAGTCAGGAGATGTGCATGTGTTCAGGGATGGTTGCTTTTCTACAAACCACAAAAAGAAGGCTTCTGCCCCTCTCTTCCTGCTTGACTAAGAAAGATGAGGGGACAGGGGAAAAAGCATTCCCTGAAACTACAGGTATCAGAGGAATTTCCAAAACCCTCATCAAAAGGATCTCCTCAACAAAGCAAAACACCAGGCAACCCGAAACTTGAAAAACTCCCTAATAATTAATTAAGCGTTGCTTATACAGGACAAAACCCCACATTGTTCCTTCTGGGCACAACAGCCCTGGCAAACCCTGCATGTATCTCACAAGACAGGATGTAGTGCTTACGCATGGAGGAGTGGTTGTTGCACATGCCAACTCCACAAGTAAACTCCTCTGCAAGACACACTCGCCATGCATGGCTCTTCATGCTGGAAGCAAAGATATCTAGAGTGAGTCTTCAACCCTTACAGAATGTATTTGCCTCTCCCACTTCCACTGAAAAGAACATCTTCCTCATTCTCCCCTTTTACCAGCAACATTTGTATCTTCTTCCACTGCTAGACACCCCTATCTGCACTATAAACACGTAATTACACAGCCCGGAAGCTTGTCTAGCGTCACTGCGACACTAACGCCTGCTACCCATCTTTCCTCACCTTCAGCTCCTTAGATTTTCTTCTTTCGAATCTCTAAAATTCATTACTAAGTTTTAGGATGCTTTCTATAACACTGTCCTACATCATAAAATATCTCAAGTTGGAAGGGAATAATAAGGACTGTGGGTCCTTCCTCTTCAATTTCTCCCTGCTTTTGCTTTTCCTGTTAAACACTGCATGTGTTGTGATGGAGATTAGCTGCAGCAGTATTTAGGAACTCAGTATTTAGAGATCAGATGCTCCAGCAGTAGAGCTGCTGGCAATAAACCCGTGCACTTCAGACTGGCCATCACAGAGCTATTCTGCCTCTGTACAAGGTTTTGGAGAAAGCTGCATACAAGATTGCAAGAAACAAGTATTCCCCAAAGCAGGGAGGAAAATAACCACCAGAAGAAGGCTTACAGGAGCTTGTAAGAAGTAAAGTAGAGAGAGGAACTAACAGGCAGCTTTTATCATTTTAATAGGTGCTCTGCAAGGGAAATGCTTCAGAGACAACTTGCCTCTCTACAGCAAAGTAACATGTCCAAAGTATGCCTGGCACAAACACACACTGAGTGCTCGCTGCCTTTGGCTTGCCTGTTGCTTGGCGGAGAAAAGAGCTAATCCTACAAAAACCTGCACTCATTACTCACCTCACACTTCACTCGGCATACCCCACCCAGCCTAAAAAAGAAACTGCCTTACTCAGAGCTATATATTTATCCAAAGACCTGAGTACCTGCCCTGGATGCAGGTGTCAGTCACTTCCATGGGCACAGGCTTGCTGGAGGCAGGCTCTCCCAAATAAACTCCAGCTGTTTCCCATCACAATGTGAAATCCCAGCCAAGCAAAGTCCCCTTCTTCTCCACCTCTGCTGAACCCTTTGTGTCCCATGTTCCTCAAACAAGGAACGGAGATGAATCGACCTCAGGCAACCACAGCTGTACTCCTGGCTAACAGGTCTCAAAAGCAGAACAACAGAAAGCCCGGAGATGCCATCAACTCCTTTTAGGATGTCTGAACAATAAGGTCAAGCCAGAACATGTAATCATTTCAGCAGGCTGGTGTGGCAGTGTCACAGGACTCTGTTATATATAGATGACACCAGTGACTCTCATTAAAGACTCTTAGCTTTCTCTTTTAACAAATGACACGTTATTTATGCAACTTTTCTACCAGCCTGGTCTTGGGCAGGAAGGCATCCAGGTTGCAGTCATGAAACCAAGCACCCAGTAACCACTTGCGGACCTGAACAACATTCAACTGGGAATCACACTTCTCCTACATATAAACAATGTCTAACCAGTCCTTTCCTGCTGTCATCCTCTAAGGCTGGCTTACACGGACACTTCAGCAAGAATATGAAACCAAATTCCCCCTCTGCACCAAGTCTGGCTTGTGCCTGACCAGACCAGGCAGGAAAAGGTGAACATTGAAAGTGAGGGAGAAGACTAACTCAAAGTTGCACCCACTGGATCTGAACCTGATTCTACAGTCAAATCCAGGACAGTGCTCAGGCATAGCTAATGAGGGCAGCAAGAAAAGAGCCATAGAGGGGTTCAGTACACTTTTACAAGGTGGTATTCTATCTGGCACGGGTTTCTGGAACAGTCTGGGGTGTTGAACAAGTCCCGGGTTGCTGGAACAACTGTGAGTTTTACTCCATATAAAACTGCTGGGAGCTGAGCTGTGTTTCTCAGCAAAGTGAACTATGCTTTAGATGAAATATGCTCTAGATAGTAACTGCACAAATACACAGGCTCTCTGTGAGTGACTTTAATGGATTTAAAGTCTTTAAAGACTAAATGACATTAATGTTATCAACAGGAGTGAGAAAGTCACGGGGTCATTTTCTTCCTCATGCCTCAATCCTTGCATTGTCCACTCACTTTCCTCAACCCCTGGGTTATCATACACAAGCCAGGTCTGAAACTCCTAAGCGTTGAAACTCAATTATTAACAGTGCCATTTATACAAGGAATGGTTAACAGGCTTCTCCTGAACACAAGCCAGAGAATGGAATTTGACTTCCATTTAAACTACAGTACAGGCCAGGTGCTGGGAGACAGAGATCCAGGGAATTATTTATTTGATGCCTTGTTCTGTCCTTTATCTATGATGAAACTATGGAGTCCTGAGGCATAACTGCAAGGAGTTTGTACATTTCAGCTTCATACGATTTTGAATAAAGTCCTTTCTAGGAAAAGCAAGGGAAATTGAAACCAGCCTTCAAGTGTTCAAGGCCACGGTGGCAGGGGCTTTGAGCAAAGTGGTCTAGTGGAAGGCATCCCTGTCCATGGCAGGGGGTTGGAACTGCATGATCTTAAGGTCCTTTCCAACCCAAACCATTCTGTGATTCTATGACATAATAGGCTACTTTGAAAAGATGGGACTCAGCTGCTTCTCCCAGTGGCTTGCTCCTCCAGCTAGATGGGTACAGGGTGGGTTTGCTACAGAAAGACAGGGAGCTCATGTGTGTGAGGTGCCAACCTACCTGGTACAGCTCTATCCGCTGCTCTGAGACCCGTGCCTTTGAGTTCTGCAGGCGGAAGACCCTGAACTCAGCCTTCACCAAGTTGGAGGCATTCTTCTCCATCGCCGAGACGTCAAATCTGACTATTCGGAAGTAAAGGCTGTAATAGCTCGGTGGGATGGCATCTGCAAGAAAGCAGTATGATTTTAGTTTTTTATTTTATGATAATATACACTGTTCCTTCAAACTGAAATACAAGACAGCCTCAGTAAGGGAAATATCTGTAGCACGATTCAGTTTCCAATGGACAATTTAATACTATTAACAATTTAATATAAAAAAAACAACCCCACATGTGTTTGATTATAGGAATACCATATTAAAAGAGATTAACAACTATTTCCAACTGTGTATTCAGGTCATGTGTTTAAAACTCCTGTCTTTCAACATAGCATTGGAAAATCCCAGATGCTTATGAATTGGGAAAAATCACAGGAGTTGGCATATGGCAAATGCCTTCAGACTTGCACAGACTTCACAGGGATTTTCAAAGACAACAAGTAACAGCAACTCATCTGATCTGTGTGTTCTTTGAAAACCATTTCCCCCCAGAATATGGAGCATAAATTTGCCAGCTTCAGATTTTTTTCATATTTAGCTATTAAAGGATTTTACTGGAACAAAATATTCATTCTGATTAAGGTGACAAAGGCAGGAAAAGAAGAAATAAAGGGAGGGAAGAGGCAAGCAGACGCTAGACATTATGGCTTTAAACTGAAAGAGGGTACATTTAGATTTGATATTAGGAAGAAGTTCTTTACTGTGAGGGTGGTGAGGCCCTGGCACAGGGTGCCCAGAGAAGCTGTGGCTGCCCCATCCCTGGCAGTGCTCAAGGCCAGGTTGGACAGGGCTTGGAGCAACCTGCTCTAGTGGAAAGTGTCCCTGCCTGCAGCAGGAGCTTGGGACTGTATGAGCTTTAAGGTCCTTTTCAACCCAAACCATTCTGTGATTCCACTATTATAAACTTGATTACATGGATCTTCACCACTTGGAAGCAGTAAAAGCCATAAACATAAACCCCCTCACCATTTATCAGGAGGAAAGCAGAAAAAAGCAGTTAGAAAAATGGACCCAAATATCCCATAACAGTGCTGAACATATCAGTTTCAAAACTGTCTTCTTCCTCCTTTCCAGCTGGAAAACCCTGACTGAGGCTAAGCAGCAAAGCCCTTCTGCACAACACAGGTTACCTGAAGGGTTCAGGAATCTGAGGCCATTCCACGTCATGCTGGCCAGCAACACGAAAAGAAACCTCTTCTCTTACAGTGTGAAAACTGAAGTGGGTAACAGAAAAGAGGAAAACTGTATTTGGGGAGTGGGGAGGGGAATTTTCTCTGAGGAAGTGAAGCTCACAGGCCTCCCTGGGGCCACGCCAGCAGCAGGACTCCAGATCATAATTACAAAACATGAAGGCTTCCCACATTATGGCAAGATTTGTCATGCAGTAGCAGGAGACGACAGCCTCATGTTAGGGAGGTGAGCAGTTCTGAGACCATGAAAGTCCCATGTGAGTCACCTGCTCTGCTGCCTCCCTTGGCTACCCAGGCCATTAATCCAGACAGCTATCAATTGAATAAAATGCATTCTTCTGGAAGATAACCTAATTCTTAATAGATATAATACCCACACTTTATCAATGCTATGTAAAGAAATGGGGGAAGCTGGGTACAGTTCATTTACCTTTATTTCCAAATAGGAACAATTAAAGTAATAAATCCTTAATAATATTTAACCATCTCAATAAATTATTAATAACTTAAAGAACTTCTTCCAAGTATTTAATGTTTCTAGACTGGCTGCTATTACCAGAACTTCTGAGCAACACAGGGATCCCAGCTATTCAAGGCTACACCAGTCACAGTTACACATTCAATAAAGGATTTGTTGGAGCTGTTTGAATAATTCTAAGTTTAAATTGACTACAGAATAAATACCAAGTATGAGGCAGTCACACAAGAAATAAAGCAAAGTTTCTGCCTTCACAAACTTCACAGACATGCTGCCTCTACATAACTGAGCCAAACTCTATCTCTTAAATAATCAGAGGTAAAAACTCCTGAAAATAATCCTAGCGATGAGAAAATCTTTGACAATAAAGAAGTAATCTTGGCCTTGACTGAATATGTGTTAGAAATGACAGATTACAAGCTCTCAAAATACTTAAAGAAGTCCTCTCTTCCAAAAGCAGACCCTCAGGATGGTCAAATGGGTAAGAGATACAAATATGAACAGGAAGTGCAGGGTTCCTTAAGATCCCATTTAATTAAAGAAGCAAAAAAAGTTCTCAAATTTTCATATCTGCAGTGCTTGAGAATAAACCCCAAAGCATCATGATCAGTATTCTCACCTACCAAGCTTATTGGCAGAAAACTGCTACAGTCTTACAATAAAAAGAAAAATGGATGCAAATTACCCCACACCAAACTGTTCCTCTCTCCCATGAGCAACACATTAGTGCTGGTCTCTCTAAAAATACCAAATGAAGGTCTTCTGAGAAAAGCTTAACTTTATGCAAGGATGATCTTAATTTCAATACACTTTGCTAATTCTTATAAAAGCTACTTGCTTCATTTAAGAGGAATAATCTCTTCAATTTATTTTTATGCCATAGGAAACTCTAAGACTCCTACCTGCTTTTCAGCCAAACCTAATTCTACTGGGAATACAATTTGGCATAATAACAGGTATATATAGGATTGATGCTTCCAGGATGAGTTCTAGATTGTCCTTCCCTGTCATTTATTTGAGGCATCAACCTATCATTTCATTCCCTGTGGACAAGTCAAACTAGCAGCCAGCTGCTTGCCCTGGCTCACACAAACCCTGTCCATCTTGACTTTATTTCAGATTGAAAAGTCATGTCTAACTGTCAGTTTGATTTCTATTCAGCTTCTTACTTATTTCTAGAACTTTCTTGTGCTGTATTTGTAGTCTTTCTTTTCAGTTTCTATATTTTAGATGACATATATTACAAACCTGTGAATAGGTATCAAAACAGATTCTCCTGAACCGTTCTCTCTTTCATGTATCAATAATATAGACAGAGAAGGAATACTCTCGTAGTGTGCATGATTTAGTTTCAGTATGTGCATTTGTATATGCAATGATCAAATATTTACCTTCCACTGGAAGGCAGGTATGGGATACCCACCATGAATAAGAATGAGTTCTTGTCTTATAGAAGCTTCATCTCTCTCTTTAAAATAACTTTGTAACTTGCAGAAACCCACATAGAAATTTGGGTTCTTTATTTGATCATTCATGACAGTATCCATGAGGAGTCAATTCAGGAAAAAGCATTATTTATGGACAGCTTAAAAACCTAAGGGTTTTTTACTAATCAGAACCCTTCCTTTGAAAAAGAATGGCTGACTGAAGAATTGGGGGTTATGTGAAAATTAATCAACATTAAGACCGAGAATTGATACTTGCAACTCTCCTTAAGTGAATGGGAAGAACTCTATGGAGTCTACAAGCATTTAGATTAGCCTTTAAGTGATCTCAGATGCTGCCATTTATCTCTCTTTTGTGACTCCACCTTAACCTGACAGTTCGATCAATTCAGACTCAGTTGGAGACCTCTGGACTCCCCTCTGGTTTTGGCCCAGTGACTCCAGTGGATGCCAGGATGATGCCAAGTCAGTCTGCAAACACAGTTACCCTGCTGCAGATTAGGCTCCTAAATATTCCTTGAACTATTATCATTAATGAGTGGAATTAAGTCAATATGTTCCCTGTAGCTAGAAAAACAGAGATTCCTTTTGTTTTGGAGAGAGGGAATAGTAAACGCAATGAAAGACTCCGCTTTTATCACCTTTAAATTATTCATTGATTCAACCCTCGGAAAACTGAAGACTTCCAGCTGTAATAATCATCAGCACAATCATCACAGTACAGTTGAGACAAGAGTTATAAAACACAGTTGGAGGGTGAAGGCATCATCCCTCCCCCTCCCTTTAGCCTGCTGAATACCAAGCATCACAAGTTTGGGGTTTTATTCTTTTTGGTTTGGGGTTTTCTTTGTTGTTGGAGTTTCTTTGGGTGTTTTCTTTTGGTGTTTTTTGGGGGGGAGTGGTGGTGTTGGGGTCTTTTTCCCTTCAATGACCTGAAACTTCAGCAGCTGCTTCACACAGGACAGTCCACATTAACAGGTTAACGCATATTCTGGCATATAAGTGTTTTAAGTGCATAAGGACACTGTGGTTTCTGTGTTTCCTACTTACTTTGTTCAGCATCTTCTAAGTTTCCGTGCCAGCAACTAGGACAGAAAGCAGTCCTGCTCTGGCAGACCAGAAAACCACTGATGGGAGAGGTGCAGGAGACCTATCCCCAAATACTGAAGGGTCTGCAGTACTGCTCCAGGTTGGAGCATTGTCAGCAGGACAGACTGAACACATCCTCTGACTGACTGCCCAAAACAGCACACAGACCCCCAGGCAATGCGGCTACGAGGAGAGCAAGATGCAGTCAAGCTCCCTTAAACTAAAAGTGGGAATGGAAGGAGTTTGTTTCCTGCTGGAGCTATTCCCCAAATCAGGAATCTCCTGCGCAAAAGGAATGACGCCTCTGCCTTCCACAGTTGTGTTTGCTGAACTAAGCCCTGCACCCTGCATTTCCCTCGCAAGTACTGCGTGTACTGACATTTCAGGAGAAACAAAACACTCTGACACAGCTCTGCTGAGAGTTGGGCTTTCATTCTGGCAAGGAAAAGGACCTCAATTCAATTGTATCCAAAGGAGGCTTCCCCCACCCCCACCCCCCCCCCTTAAATTTTCATTTCTGCTATTGAAACAACAACAACAAAATCAATTACATGCACAGCCCAAGTCAGGAAATGTAAACAACTTCTCTTTTCTTGTTGGAAGAGGCCAGACAGGCCGACTTCACACATACACCCACACAGGAAAGGCTGAGAGCTTCAATCTAATCCTTCCATCAAGGGCTTGTAATAAATGCTCCAAAGATTTATTTTTATTCTCTTTTTTGTTTATTAAACTTTGGAGGGTTTCTTTTCCTTTTTTCTTTTCTTCCTGGTGCTTTGCCCATTCTTTATTAGAGCAGCTACAAAACATGGAGTGCCCTTTTCTTCTCGCCCTCTTTTTTTTGCCCTCCTCATCCTTCTAAC